CTATGTTAGGATTAGACATATATTGACTGACCTTATTTACTGCATAGGAGATTTCAGGTCTTGTTATAGTCAAATATTGAAGTCCTCCTACAATCCTTCTGTATTGAGTTCCATCCACACTGTCAGCTGTCTTGTTTTTCTGAAGAATACAACTGGTTGACATAGGAGTATTGCAGCCCTTAGCATTGAGCATAGAGAGCTTAGAAAGAAGCTCTTGTGCATACCTCTCTTGGGAAAGATGTTGGGAATTCCGACCACACCGAAACTCGGCCCAAGATCTATTGAAAATAATAAAACTGGAGAACACAAAGTTTAACGTGGAAAACCCTCTGTTAACGAAGAGGGAAAAACCACCAGGGCAACAAGGCCGTAGAAAATCCACTATGTAAAAAATTACAATCACATAATTTTTCTACACTCACTTATACCCAAAATTACCCCACAGAATTTTCTATCCGTTAACCTTAACTCTCACCCTAAGGGATTTTTAACCAGAGATTAATTGTTAACACAATAACTCTGTGGGATGATTTTACATAAGAAGTAACACTTTCTTATACCGGGGAAAAATCCCCTCCTCTCTCATCCCACTTCCAATGTGGGACAAAAGAGCAAAAACATAACAAACTCCACCTTGCGATTTTGACCCATTTGACAGCCACTATTCACTTTGATGAAATTTTTCATAGCTTTCGCTATCATGCTCCACCATAAAAGCATATCCACTCGGACTCGCATCCAAGAATTTCTTCGGCCCATGTCGAAATAACTTTGCTGAAATCTATGGTGCAACTTCCACGTTTGGCTTTCCTGAAAGTTAATCAGCCCTCGACACGCTTTTTCCACCACACACCTTGCATCACCGCCAAACCAATGCCCGTCTGTAAACTGTGGACTCGCTAATTGTAACACGTCCTCTTTCATGACACTTAGCGACATGCCATAAGGACTCCCCTTTCTCTCTTAGCAAAACTCATCCATGGAGAGAGAGACAAAATTAGCTTCTTCGGTATCTCCACTTACCGACTTGGAGCTTTTTGCCGAACCTGCTCCTCCTTTCGGACAATTTCTTTTCATGTGCCCAGATTGTTCACACGTCCAGCAAATCACAACTTGCTTCTTCCTGGAGTTCCTCTTCTTTCCGTCACCGACGAGCATGACTTGACCTTCCGGTGAATTGTTTCGTCCACCGTCTAGCCTTCTCTCTTCCGCAAGAAGTTTACCAGTGACTTCAGAAAATATAATTTTCTCCTTCCCATGAATCAAGATCGGCTTCATGTGTTCATAAGAAGTTGGAAGAGACCAGATGAGTCTCAACGCCTGATCCTCATCATCAATCTTCACTCCAATGGATTCCAGCTCCGAGACGATCCCATTGAGAACGCTTAAGTGGTCTGAGATGCTTTGACCTTCAGTCATTCGCAGTGTGTGAAACTGCTCCTTCAGATACACCCGATTTGAGACGCCTTTAGCCTGATACAACTCCTAAAGCTTGTCCCATAATGCTTTTGCCTTTGAAATTCCATGCACATTAGCAAAAACATTCTTGGCCAGACACAGTCGTATCGCGCTTGCCGCTCTCGAATCCAGTTCCTCCCAATCTTCATCGCTCATTCCAGATTTGTTCACACCAGCTTTTTCTTCAGTGCTGCTGGTAGCACTGCCTTTGAGAATTTTCGAGCCCTTCAAAAGCTTTGTGTAACCCCGACTGAATCAGCACGTCCTTCACTTGCACTTGTCACAAGCCAAAATTGATTTTTCCGTCGAATTTCTCCATATCCAATCTCGCCAGATTCGATATCTTATTTCCAGACATCTTCGTAAATTAGTGAACACTAACTTCGTAGAAAACCGAGCAGCAACCTTTAATAGTACTGATCAGATAAATTCTCAGGGAGGGTAGCGACCTGCCCCCTAAAGAATTACCCTTCTAAGTAAGCTCCCAGGAAAGGCTG